CCGAAGAGGGCGGGGGGGCCGTGTCCCATAGCCTGTGGAGAGGCTCGTCACGCCTCGTGCCACTGCCATGGCCAACAGCCGTGAGCTCTCCTGCCATTCCTGGGGCCAGGGCTCAGGGTGGCCCTGAGACCCAGCAGGCCATGTGCTCCATCAGGCAGCTCCAGCCCTTTCTCCACGGCAGGTTTTAGGCATCACGAGCAGCTCTGGTGCTTGTGGAAGAGGAAGGCTTAGCGCCCCACTTGGGTACTGACCACAGGGCAGGCACGTCCTGATGGGGCTGCTCTGGGGTGTTCAGACATTGGAATTTTGGAGAGTGATTCTTGTATTCGGGCTGTGTTTTGGCTAGTGTAGCTCTGCCAGACTTGCACAGAGCCCTGCTTGCTTTCCTCTAGTGTGAGTGCAGCGTTTATCCCCTGACGTGCAGTTTGGGAACCATCTCCAGCTCATCGTCTCTCTCTGTCCGTTGAAGCCCACACACTCCTGTAAGCCTCTGCCACCTCTGGAGCTCTGTGAGCAGCCGTGCCGGATTGGAAATGTCAAGGATTTGGTGCGTTTTATTCCTCAGCAGCTGGCTGGTGTGGTCAGGAAGAGCTGATGGCCCAGCAGCTGTCATCAGGATTGATCTTGGAACGATTGACCGCAGTAAGTGCTCAGCCACGTTAGTGTCTGTGCGTAGACATGAGTCTGTCCGTCTGCACAGACAAGCGGGCAGCAGTGCACGGGCTGCATTGCGGCGGGGAAGCCGCCTTTCGCTGCTGTGTAGCCTGCGTTCCCGAGCACATCCCCAGCCTCTGCGTGCCACCGGCCGGGCGGGCTCCAGGCGCTGCCCTTAATCCGCAGCAGGAGCCGCTTCCTTGCGGTCTGCGCGTCCCGTGTGGGACGCTGCAAGCAGGACCTCGCGGCTGTGATGCCCTGACGTGGGCACGTAGGTTGTCTCACCGGTGTGCGGTACGTTAAGGTGGGAACCTGAAAATGCGCCTCATGTCCAAAATCGCAATGCGTGCGCAGGAAGCGCCTGCCGAGCTCCAACCGTTACCCGGGGACGGCAAAGATTGCTGGTAATCCGAATTTACAGCAAGCGAAGTGTCCTGATGGTGCCTGTGTGTGTTGGAACAGGAATACGTTAATAATGATGTTTTATAGGGTACGGTGGGGGGGTGCCAAGTCCCCTCACCCTCCAGCACAGGCTCCTCCCTGCGGGTTTTGTGCTAAACTCCTCGTCTTGTGCGAACCTTCCAGCGGTCTCCACTGCTCTGAATGAGAGTGATGTTCTGCAGAAAATGGCAGAGGAAGCCGCAAAAAAAAAAAGCCAAACGCCAAACCCATCAAAGGCATCTCGGGGTGAGTGATGATCAGCAGCTTTACACCACGAGCCTGAACCTGGGAATGAGAAAATAAAAGCAGAAGGTTGGGAACTGTCAGCCTGGAGGCAGAAACGAATCACTCTCTGCTAACAAGTGTGATATTAAAGGAGTGATTTTCTGCATGGTTGTGTCTACAAATACATGGAGAAACTATAACTTAAAGGCAACAAAGCGCATCGGCTCCTGCTTCAGCTCTGGCTGGGGACTGCTGCAGTGGCTCTGCGGCACCAGGTGGGGTTTGCTCTCAAAGCCGGGGGTGCCCGGCTTTTGTCAATAATATCCTGAGGGAACCCCAGAATTTCTGGGGGATCAGAGCTGGCCCTCCATCCTGCAGATTCGTTCTGGGTGAAAGCATGGAGATGTTTTGAATGTCAAAACATTTTTTTTCCAAATTTTTTCAAAATTAAGCTGTGCAATCTTTTTGCTAGGAAGAAACATGTTTCTAAATTTAAAAATGGTTTTAAATGGAAAGTTTAAACAAGAAGTGAAAGAATAAAGATGGTGATGGCAATTATCAGTGATAGGTGACTTTGACATAAGCAGCCCGACCTGGTTCCTCTGCGGGCTCCTCTTTCCCAGCTCTTTTCCTCTGTTTTTTTCCCCAGGCTAAAAGTGAAAGATCTCCGTCCCCCCGTGATATCGCTGGCACTCTCGCCGGGCTCAGGGCTCTTCATGGCCATCTTAGTCCAAATGACCATCACTGGGAAAAGGTGAGCGGGCATGGGGAAGATCCACTGGCGGGGCTGGGGTGGGCTCGCTCGCTCCCGGGCGTTTGCCCTGCGGTGACCGAGCTTTGCTCTGAGCAGCTTTGTAGGAGGAAACATGGGAATCGCTCTGGCCGCAAACCTGACGGCCAGCAGCCGGCTGTGGCAGGACGCTGCAGGCGTACCCAGGTTCCGCTGCAGGCCCTGCCACATCACTCTCGTCAGCGTTAAAACCAACCTCCCCAGCAGCTGAGTCCCAAAGGACAACATCGATGATTTGCCGATATTAATAATTCCTAAGAGGTAGGTAGCAGCATTGTTAAATCTTTCAGTCTCCAGGTGCGGGTTTCTACAGAACACAAATACTTTTCACTGTTCATTTTTTTCCACTAAGAAAACCAAAATTTTTTATGGACGAATTCAGGCCAGCTCTATCTGTGTTATTCCATGCAATGTTCATCTTTAGCATCAGTCCTCATTTAAGTGCTGTACTCCTGGGATACCAGAGCTTCTTTTAGGCATGGAAACCTTTAGCTTTGTTTAAAGCCAGAAGATGGCATTCTTGAGAAAAGAGAGAAAACATCTTTTATTAGACATTAGGCATATTTTGGCTTAATCCATACCAGATACGTTTCTTTAGTGCTTGACTTTCTTGCCTTTTGATCTTTAGTAAATAATTATTGCTATGTGCAAAACGGCTGTATCGTCTGATGTGTTGCCTCTGCCCAGCATGCTGCCCAAAGTCATGAGCAAGTTTCTGCACAGCACCCTTCAGAAAATGCTGCCAGGTCTGGCGAGTCTGATCCTCCTCCCATCCTTGTTTCCCGGAGACCGTCTCCTCCTCCTCCTCCTCACTGCACCGTGACAGGTTTCACAGTTGTGCCACACAAAGGAGCTTGCAGGCTGGTAAAAGGGAGCATTTCAAGCAATTACTGGTTTTATGCAGTCAACACCCGCAGCAAAGGCACTGTCACTGCCTAAAGCCTCCTCGCCCCAGCCCGGCGGTTAGGGATGCGATGCTCAGACAGAACTGATCTCGATGCTGAGCATGCTTGTTCCTAAAGGATTGTCAAAGGGCAGACTTGCAGCCTCTTAACACGTGTCATAAAGTCGGTCTGGTTTAGTCAGATATCTGTGGGGAGTCTGGCCCTGTTCTTCGCTCAGCTTAAGGAAGGTTTACTCCAGAATAGCCTAATTCAACCAGGAACAGAGAAAACTGAGGCAAACCCTTGTCTGGGTAATTAATAGTGGAGTGTCCTGGTGCTTCAGGGTGGGAGCTGCACTGGTCTGGCAGCCACAAAGCTCTGCTCCCACCAGAAACCTCCATGCAAGGTTTTCTCACACATTTCTTGTTGCCCTACAGCTGTGTCCAGCTGTGGATGCAGTGCTCAACCTTGTGAATGCAAAATTCACCACCATGATTTGTAAGTTGGCATCCATCCATCTCATCCGTCTTCTTCCCTTCCCCTGGCAAGGGGAAAGCACAGATCTATCACATAGACAATCTGCTGAGCCCTGACTAGGACCAGGCGGGGACAAACCTCGGTGGCGGCCACACGAATATCCACCCCCTCCTTGATGCAGATTCGGGAGAGCCTGGCATCACAGAGGCTTGCAGGGAGACAGGAGCCCACCGAAGCCGTAAATGGCACGTGGCGCTGGTGAACCAGAGGTTTGGTGCTGGTGAGTGCTCTCCCCGCGGCGCAGAGTGTGCACCTTCCAGTTAAGCATCCCTCTTTGCTTCCACACAGCTGAGGTCCCCCTTGGGACTGCTGGGACCCTCCGGTGCGCTTTCCTGAACCCCCCAATGATGAGTGAAACTTTCATAGAGCTGGATTTGGAGGTGAGTGCTGCTGCCTCGTGCCGGGTCTCGGAGCAGTGACGTTTCTGGCATCCATTTGCTCGGAGGTGTTTTCCTTCTCAGCCTTGGGCAGCAGAGGCTCTGGGAGGGGTGCAGACGTGCTGGTTGCATTATATCACCTAACCACCTCCTCGGCTCATTGTTTTCTATGGAGTTTATGCTCCTTTTTGTTGCTGAGATTACAGAGCAAAGCATCCAGTACCTTGTACCTGGTCCAAATGCAAATCCTGGAAATGGACCTGTGCTCTCTGACATGGCTCTTCTTATTGGTCCTTTTAGACCATTCTCCACCAAAAGGAGGGAAAGGAGGCAAACCTTCCCATGGACCAACCATCTCTTACTTCTCTGACACCGAAGAGGGATGCTGCTACCCAGCTTATCCTGTCTGCAAACTTCTTGGGTGCTGAGCTCTCTATTCTGCAGGCATCCTTCAACCTGGACATCAGCAATAACATGGTGGGTGGTTTGGGCTTGAGATTTTCCTCAAGAAACCACTAAAGAAATCTACACCCATGTCCAAGGCAGAAGGGAAGATGCCTCTTCCCTTCCCCATGTTAAACTCCCCGCCACCCAAGTGAATTCATTAAGTCCCTGTCCCGTGAGACTTTCTCAACAGGTTCTTGGGCTTCCCCCGCTGGTGACCACGATGTTTGGAGCCCTCATCCCTGAGGTAGGTGGACTTTGCTTGATCCTACTGGTCTGTGGCTCATCTCAGGCTACTTATGGCAGCAGATAAAGCTGCTCTCCGTTCACAAAGACATGCTGGGTACCTTTTCCCCAAGGTCAAACTGGTGCTCTCTTTATTTTATTAGTAAAACTTTTATTACTAAGATTATTTAAGGGACATACTATTAAGCAGTATGGACCAGCTTGACTGACTCCCACTGACTTTGGTGAATGTCACCGATGCTCAGCACCCACCAGGATAATCCCCAGAGCAGTGAACTGGGAAGGAAAGGGGATGTCACCCCTTTGCTTTGACTCACCACAGATTTCCAGGGTGCTGCCTCCATCACAGCCGGTGGTGATTGAAATGCGAGAAGTGAAAGCACCAGTGGTGACCACAACCCCGGACAAAAGCTTTGTGCAGCTCTTCAGCACTGCCGAGTTTCAGGTTTCCCCTTCAGACTGCTCCCCAATCCTTCTTCGTCCTGCATGTTGTGAGTTGAAGCCTTTTGCAGTTGGCGAGGGCTGAACGTGGTCGCCCCTGCCCCAAGCCAGCAAACCCACACCAACACCAGAGCGAGAGATGCGGGATAGTGGCCAGGGACGTCTGTCAGGGAGGATGCCTGGCCGGGGGGTCCTGCGGGGCTGGAGCGGTCGGGGGGATCAGGGTCCTGGTGGGGATTCCCTTTCCCTTTCCCCTGGCAGCACAGCAACCTGGAGGTGCAGTTTGCCATTGCAGAAGAAAAGCTGCGGCTCTCCCTCGCTCTGCAAAGATAATGCGGCTGCTGGTCCCCAGTGCCACCACCAGCAGCGTGACAGTCCCTGGGCTGCTGGGAAGGCCACACGCTGCATCTCACCTGTGCGTTTTCAGAAGGAACCTTTGCTGTCTCTGCATGATGCTTTTATAGTTTATACTAACAGCCATTTAAAAATACATGAGGGTCAACGTGACATAATCCAGCTGAGCTAATACCTGTTTGGGTTTTTTGCTCTTTAAGTTTGAAGAGCTGAACTTGGTTCAGGGTGGAGAAAATGCTCTCGGTGGGAAGCAGCCCCTTCCTGGAGGGAGGCTGGCAGAGCCACGGCACCTCTGGTGCAAGGGGGAGGTTTGCTGGGGGCCAAGATCTGGGTGAAGAGTTTGCTGAGGGCGACAGGGCAGCTCGCCAGGGGGCTGCGGGAGATGAATGATGCCGTGCCCTTCCTCTCCCTGCAGTCTGTCTCGGGTGGCCTTGGCTTCCTCCTCCCTTGGGACATTTGACATGAGTTGGGCAGTCTGCGTTGTGCGTGAGGCTGGGGTTGCCGCTGTGAATCTCCGTGCTGGCAGTTTGTGTAATGCTGTACCAGGAATTCACACTCCGGAGCCCCGTCCTGCTGCTTTCATTATCAGTAACAGATTTGTTAAAAAAACCCCACAAAACAAAACCAAAATGAATGTTGAAGATGATTGAAATATTATTTCAAGGAATAACAAATGACAAATCAACTGCCAAAACCATTTGCCCACAGACACGAATGCTCTGGAGGGGGTCCCTGTTCATCACGCACCTTGTTCATTCCTGGGAGAGTTTTGGCCATGAGTAACCCTCCCTGGTGCAGCACTGGTGGGGTGGGAGTGTGAGCTGGGCTGCCCTGAGGCTGTGTGTGCTGGATGTTCAATCTCCTTGTCTCCCTCTAATCCTGATGCTGGGGTAGAGATGAGTGGGAGGGAGAGTGCCCCGGGGCTCATGCAGATGACATTTGGGCTGGCTGCAGCACGGCTTCGGGCTGCGAGGAGGATGTCTGGGTGCCCGGCCCCAGCACTGACTGCAGGGCAGAGAGCAGAGTGCTGCTGGGGCAGGGAACAGTCTCATCTGGGGCAGTTTTCATGGAAATTCAGAATTTCTCAAATGTTCCCATTCTGCTCTGGGGGACCTCTGCAATTTTCCTGTGATTGGAGAAGGTGCTGGATGAATTGATGGGGTGAGCCCAGCAGACGCGGCTGCTGGCTCACAGAGCAATGGGCGGTTTACACCGCTTCTCTGTGTTTCAGGAGCTTCCACTGAAAAGAGTTTTGGCAGGTATTATTCACATGGCTTATGTGCCATTGATCGACAGTAAGCACGGCTATGGCTTCATCTGAGGATTCGCTAACTGCACGGGAAAACAGTTCTCATTTCTTTTCCTATAGACTGTTGTTATCTTTTTTTTTGGAAATGACATTGCCTGGCTGACCTTGCGTGCTCTTCCTGCCCTCGAGGCTGTGAGGGACTCTGCCAGCAAAAATCGCTTGCCAGCCATTTCGCACCTGCAGGGTTTGCAGTGGGAGCTGGAGGCGGGCAATACCTCTTGGTCGGGGCTCTGGCATGCTCACTCCTTCACAGGCAGGAGAGCTCTGCCTGCACAGAGCAGATCCACTGCAAAGGATGCAGGCTTCTCCTCTGAAGCCTCTTCGAACATTGTTCCTGTCCCCCAAAAATCAAAACCACTTGCCATGAACAACTGGGAACAGTTTTCATAAGACCTTTGCTTTTCTGAAGTCTCAAAAAATCATCATGTCCCTCTTTACCATGCCTGAAAACAGCCAAAGTGTCAGTAAAAAAACCCCACCCTGGAACACCAATTTATCTGCTTAACTTGTACTGCAAGTATGCCAAAAGCAGAAATTTCAGTCATGCTAACATGCACGAACCCAGGAATTCCAGCCCTGACAATTTTCCTTCCGAGTATTCCCAAAACCCCTTGCCAGACCTTTGGCAGGCGTGGGCAGGCAGCGCGAGGGCGGCAGGCAGGGAAGCACCGGAGACGCCGGCAGCGCCTGCCACGGCCCGAGGGCCTCTGACAGCGGCTCCCCCTCGTTCCAGGGGCGCTGCATGGAGGGGTCCCCCTGCCCGACCTGCTGGGCATCACCTACTGGTGGGCGAACATCAGCGGGTTCGAGGTAGGCACACTTGTTGCCACGGCCCGAGGGCCTCTCTCTGACAGTGGCTCCCCCTCCAGGGGCGCTGCACGGAGGGGTCCCCCTGCCCGACCTGCTGGGCATCACCTACTGGTGGGCGAATCAGCGGGGTTTCGAGGTAGGCACACTTGTGTGGTGGTTTTACTGTACCCCGGGTCATCCCAGGAGTTAGTGCCGTTAGTCTGCCACATCTGAGCATGGAAGCAACTGTTAAATCCTGCCTGTGTGCTTTTTATTTTTAAATCTGCAGAATGGTCTAGTTCTGGACATGTCTGTCACGGAGACCTGAGGTGCGGGGCGTACGGCTGCAACCCACCACTGCTGCGAGGACCCAGCAGGACTGGGTGGGAGAGGGAGCAGCAAGGCTGCTGGGGTTCCTGGGGTGTTTCTTCCTCTTTCCTTGACTTTTCAATAGTTTGACTCCACAAGCTGAAATAAAAAGAACCCACCACCCATGACGAGACTCTGGCCTGCCGTGTGTCTAGTGGAGCCAGCTGGGCATGTCTGGGCAGAGGTTGTATTTCGCGAAAGGACTGGTCCCTAAATCAATCACATTTGTAACAGAAATAGCACGTGCGTTAGCACGCTGCAGGCAGCAGCGTGGGCTGCCATCGGGGTGCAGCACCCACATCTCCTGCAGGAGCGGGGTGCAAGAAGGGGACTCTCATGCTCCCAGGGTGCATGTGCTGCAGAGGAGGGGAGTGTGTCTGTAGTTGTGTGTGGGGAATTAGGACTGCTTGGAATGAGTCAGGACATCTCTGTGTGTTTTTTAATACTTCAGAAGTGCCTAGCATCGTGGTTTATTGGCTGCATTGCAGATATTGATCCCAAGCGTATAGGTCAGTGATTGCTGGATAATTACCTGTCATTAGTAAGTCAATAAACAGCTTTGATCCTGATTTCATCAAGCTGACATGATTTGAACATTTTTTCCTGGTGACAGGTAGCTGGTGCAGAATTAAGGTTATCTTTGAAAAGATCATTGTGTTTTTAAGAAATTGTCCCCAAGAAAATCTCGCTGTGAGGCAGGCTCTGAGAACTCCATTTGTTTTCTTGTGTGTGCTGCCAGACCCAGCAGGCATTTGTTCTGCAACGCGTGTAAGGAATTGTCCTCATCAGGAGTCCTAAGCAATGAGGACAGCAGCCATAAAACCAGCTCCCCATGAGGACTGGTGTTTATGGTGCCTTCTCTCTTCATTTCACTGCAAACATTGTCAATGCCAAGCACATTTTTTTAAGAGATTTCCCTTATTGTTCTTGCATTAGCTAATAAACAATCGAACAGTTTGAGTATGAATTCCCTTAAGAGGAACAAAAATGAATCAAAATATCTGTATGCAGCCCTCCTAGGAGAAATCAAGGCTGGAAATCTCAGGCGGCAGCTAGTTAATTTTTCATGAAACACTTAACCATGCTGTCAAGCTGCACTATCACGAAACTGGTATTTGATGCCCTGGGGCACTTGGTGGAAGTGCAGCCTTCCGACATGTGCAGGCACCTGCATTGTCCCCTGGAGCTGTACACGGACCCCGGCAGCCCTGATCCCCCCAGCAGTGGGGGATGTACCAGGCTCTCACAGTTAATGGTCCCAGAGGAATGAAAGAGCAAACCAAGACTGCCCTGGCTCAGGGGTCCCCACAGGGACGTTTTCCTAGGGCAGAAAGGCCACATCTGGACGATGCCATCAAGGGGAGAGCAGAGCAGAACCATCTCGTTTTTCAACCAGGGCTAAAGCATTTCACTTTGCCTGCCCTGGCCAGAGCCTACTGCCCTCTTGCTAATGTCAAGACCTCCAACGCTTCGCAGGGGTATGTCTCTCTTACTGCCTGCCCTTAGGTCTCTGTTTCCAGGTGATCTGAGCATCAAAGCAGCATCTCTTCACATCAGTCCCATTCTTCTCCCTTTGACCAAGCCCGTTCTGGTTTACTCTGCGTTTCTGTCCTCACACAGTGATTTGGCTTCGTGTTCTTGAGGTTTTGAAAGTTGCTTTAGCGGGACCTGGACCTCACGATGTCATTCTCTTTATGGGAATCTGCTTCGGTTTATCCAAAATATTTAATTGTCAGAGACCTCTGCATTCAGCAACGGCTGGTGTGAGGCCAAGTTACTGTCATGCCTGAAAGGTGACTGCTCAGAAGCTATTCTCTGCGGTGCCAAAGTGCCCCTTTACTGTGTGCTGACCATTATCAGGTCTGTCTTTATGGTAATTTGGGTTTCGTATAGTGCTTGCCCAAAGTATAAAGTGATTCAGGAGGGATGATGACATAATACCATCTTGTTAACACTCTCTTCCACCTTATCAAATGTCATGATCTAGCTGTGACAGCAAGGCTTTGTGCTCCCGAGGTGCCTGGCTGATCAGGTTGCAAGGAGAGTGACAACTCCTTAAGTACTTTGGCACCTTTGCCATCCCTTTCTTGGCCTTTAGCTAAGATATTTTTTTAAAGCCGGAATTAATGTGTGACAAAAGCTGGCTAATCTGCTGGAAATACTTATTTCCAAGTTTGCAGAAAGTATTAAGTCTGAGCAAGCATTTTTATGGGCTATTATTCTTCAGCGTTGGGGAGCAGCCCATCCACCCCTGCCATTAAAGAGCACATCAGGGGAGTGAATAGTTCACCGCTGTCCCCTTGGCCGACGCATCCTCCCCTCCACCATGGACAGCCTTCGCTGTGCATGTCAGGACATGACCCGCACACAGGGATGACGTTTGGTCTGTCACCCACAGAGGCGGGTTTTCTTTTTCTTGCCCCGAAGAGCTGCTGCTCTGGTGCAGCTCGAGGCAGCGGCTCCGTGTATCCGTGTGGTGCCAGTGATCGGGACCAGGATGGGGCGAAAGGGAAGAAGACAGCATGGCTGTGGGTGCACATGATATGTTGGCTCAGCAGAAATTTTTCTCCTTTTCTCCTGCCTGTAGCAGTAAATTATCTGGCAGTAAATGATCCATGATGGACCAGGCGGGACACAATTTTTCAGCATGGAAAAAACCTGGCCAGAAATCTAAGAGGGCGGGGGCCTGGATGGAGCTGACCCTGGGCAGTTGCATGGCTGTTCCTCTCCTGCAGCACATTTGTTGCATGGGGTGGTGTGGCAGGGAGGCCACCTCTCTTGATATGTCCACACTGGGATCAACAGTCCCTACAGGACTTCAAAATGATCCAGAGCTGACAAGCTCTAGGCTGGGAGCTCCCTGGCTTTGTGGTCAATGGCACCACCCTCTCAACGGTATCTCCCCGTGACAGCGCATCCCACCTCCAGTCTTCCTGGAGTGCTCTGAGGCAGAGGTGATGGACCTGGAAATAATGCCATGCCAGTTAGACTAGTGCAGCATTTCCAAATCAGACTCTCTCCGAAGAGTCTGTCAGCTCAGGGTACCCGTAAAGCTGTGACACCCCATCGATACACCTTATCATGGTGTCACTATTCCTTCCCAATTCAATACCTCCTTTTCCTCAATTATCAAATGGATTATGAGCCATTCAGGTCACTGGACGGGCACTGTTGGCTTTGATAAATGTTGGGTAAAGTCATAGTCTGTAGGCACGTCGGGATGGGAACGCTGGGCATGTCCTCCTGGCCTGGACAGTGAATACCCAGCTCTGTTACTATCTCCACAGGCTGTCTTTACATTGAGAAAGGTGCTGCCTGGTCCTTCATTTATCACCCATAACGTGTGGCACATCCCCACCGCATGGACTTACTGCGAGAGTAAAGTGCTCAGCACTGAGAACTGTAGAAGTCCTTAACAGCGAGGGGTGGCCAGTATTTTGACACATTTTTCAGTCAAAACCTCAATTTTATTTGGGAAAAAAAAAAAAAAAAAGTATTTTATCAGGGCCTGACTTTTCAGCCATGTCCGCATCTTGACACAAGAGCAAGCCCGAAAGGAAGATATACTAAACCAGGCAGCGGTGTGCGGACTGGCGCCCAGAGCTGGCTGAGCCTGCCTCTGCACCTACCCGTTGTTGCTCAATGATTTACCTAACTCCTAACATCTCTAGGGAAATATTTGCGGTGGAAGTCACCAGAAACCATACATTGTTTGTGTTTTGCTCCCCACCAATTATTCTGGATGTCCTCAATGACATTGCTTGCCTCTTTCCTGCTCTAAAGCTCTATATATGAGGATGCTTGATGCAGGTCATCTTCAGAAGACAGGGACATCGGCTAGAGAGCTCCTTGCACTCAAGACCTTGGTCAGGTAAGAGCAAACTTATCCCTCAAAAAGTGTGCTTTTAGCTTCTGCTTCTGCAAACCTGAATGCTTCCCAAAGAAGAATCCTTAATGTTTGTTTAGGAGTATTGGCTTTTTAACAAAAATTGTTATTCTTGCCTCCTGCCTGCTTGAATTATGCTCTGACAAGTAAAATATGCTGTGGCTTTCACTATGAGTTTCTCAAGAACAGACATGCACGTTCATTGTAGCTGCAGTCCTTGAAGAAGAAAAGGTATTTCATGGTTTTCATAAACAATTATCACTTAAATTATTTTTGGTATAACTCTGTTATCTGAGATAGATTTTTACCTAAGATGAATTAGACCTCTCACACTTGTTTTGATCCCTTTTTGATGTGCTATTTACATTTAAATAAATTTGGGGCAATGAAGTTCATTATGGTTCTTTAAAAAAAAAAACCAAACTACTTCAAATTGTAGGTCCCACAGAAATATTTCAATGACACTGAAACTTTTAAAATTATTTTCTCCTTCTTACAATTCTAGCAAAAGGTGCTTTTATGCAGAGGGAAGCCTCAGATGTTTGTGCAGAGATCATGACATTCAAACAAGGAGATGCTAGCCTTACTAGATATATTGGTGCATTTGTCCTGTGTAAATGCCATTGCTTTTCTTTCTGTGACTAGAGATGATTACGTTGTCAGAAATGTCCTGTTTTCCCATCGTGCGGGATACAGGATCTTGTTTCTCGGAGAAATTCCCACCCAGAACAGATGCACCCCAGATTGTCCAGATCAGTCACCGACATTGCTCACCGGCACTGAGAGATTAAAGCAGGAACAAACATTGGCTTTTCACTTGGCTGCTGTGACAGTTGGTCTTTGGAGCAACTGTTGTTGAAGTTCTGGTTCCTCCTGGAGGAAAGTGCCATCAGGAGTTTTACTGTGCCCACCAGTGTGGTGAGGAGGCGGGAGAGGTGCCAGCAGCTTCCTCCCTGATTTTGTCTTCCCTGACAGGCATTCCTCCTTTTTCTTTCCTCCATCTTACTCTCTCCTTCCTCCACTAGCTTGTGCTCACTGTCCCAGCATTGCACTGATGGCAATCGCTTTCCACAGTTATCAGGACCGAAGATGTCTGCATTCTGGGCTGTTTTCCTCCTCTGCAGCCTGCTGACCCCTTCACAAGGACTCGGAATCATGTCCTCGGTTGCCAAAGTGGATGTAGATGGTAAGTGTATGGAAGAGACAGGATTCGTCTTTTTTTTGAGACCAGTTCTGCTCTTTCTGTCTCTTGAACATGCTCAGAAAATCAGAAGCTGGTCCAGATTCATTCAGCAGTAGTGGCAATGCTGATAATTTGCATTTATAAAGCACTTTGGAGGTGGCACTTCAGATACTTTACAGTCGCTGGTGCCACCACCCCTATTGTATAAAGAGGGAAATAGAGGGACAGTGGAGGGGAAGGAACAGCCAGGCTGACACAGCATGCTTGTGTGCTGAGTCCACATAGCTCACAGTGACCTCTCATCCTTTTTTTCAGATATTGCAGATTCACTAGCCAAACGTGACCTCCAGAAGCTTCAAGGTGGTGTCCTTGGCGGCAATCTGCTTAGTGGTCTCCTTGAAAAAGATAGTCCTCTTGGCAGTCTCCTTGGTGGAGATGGTGTCCTTGGTGGTCTCCTTGGGGGAGATGGTGCTGTTGGCAGTCTCCTTGGTGGAGATGGTGTCCTTGGTGGTCTCCTTGGGGGAGATGGTGCTGTTGGCAGTCTCCTTGGTGGAGATGGTGTTGTTGACACTCTCCTTGACAGAGATGGTGTCCTTGGTGGTCTCCTTGGCAGAGATGGTGT